GATGAGAAATTTATCTCACTATTTATTTGAGGTTTCGTTTTCTTGACAGCCTTTATTTTGTTTAAATTGTTTTTGATTTTTGTTTCATATAATTAAATTTGAAGCTCTCAAAATTATTTACTACTAAAATTCATAACTCTATTAAATGTAATAAATGACAGAATTTGATACACGAACTAAACATACCCATCCATAAGCCAAGATGTCCGCCAACGTCAGCCAATAAGTTAACAAGCTGAAATTATCATTTAATTATTACCATGGTCTATTGGTAACATATGAGGAATGTAACGTTTATCATCTTATAGTAGAAATAATTAATTTCAATGCTCTAAATTTTCTGGCAATTTTTTTAAAATCTTTTTATATATTTGCCACTCAACAGTAATTAAAATAGATAATTAAACAGATTAGAGAAAAAATAGTATCTTAATTTTATTAATATGACAACTTAAAATGATGTTAAAAATTTGCGCTTGCTTCATTAGCCATATATTATGGGAACTTTTACTCATTAAACTAACACCATATGCTTCAGATTCTTTCAACAGTTCATAATTAAGCTGCTCGTAGTAAACTTCAACCATTGCTGAATTTTCTCTATAAAATTTCTTGCATTCTTCATCACTCATATTTGGATCACAATTTCCAAGCTAAAATTTATATTAAAAAAGAACATTAATCGAAATAATGGATAATTAATTACCATGCTAATTATCACATTCTCTAACAGTTGACAATCAAATGTAGACATGATTGGTAAATAGTATTAAAGGTAAGTTGATAAGTAGTTGATGAAACATGCAATGTGTGAATTTGAAAAAAAAGGAAAGCAAAACTCCATATTTAAAAATTATTGTTAAATTGCAAAACTTTGTGTTTCTTTCATATGTAACACTTGAATAACAAACGAAAATAGTTAAAACACCAGTCGAATATGAAATTAATATGCTTATTATAATTAAACACAATTCTCTAACAATTAATAGTCATTGCTGATTAATTTTTATTTTGAAGATGCCAAGTTTGAAGAAAAAAAAAACTAAAAACAAATAAATAAATTATATTAAAATGAAATTTACCGCTTGTTGCAGCTGTTTTTTTTCGACCACAAATCAAACAATGCAAAAGAGATGGTTTATTGATTAGATGATTATTTAGTATTATCACTGCAAAATGCACTGAAGCAATTTATGTTTTTAGTAATTCAAGCATTATAATTAGACAGTGTGCATGGAAATGTTAGCGATTATTACTAATAATTATCACTTTTTAGTGCAATTATTAAAATAAATTTAATTCCTGGGATATTATATAAATAAATTACATAATATTTTGATAAGAATTGAATTTAATACCACATAAAAGAGTTAATGACAAATAAAATAGCTAAATGGATTTTATGATATAAGCGCAATAGGTTATTTATAATTATTGAATTATGCATATATATCGAAATTTCATTATATTTGATTTGCATGCGCACGAATTTTGCGCAGTTTTGTCTTTTTAGGACAATAATGGTATTTGTTTTAAGCACAGCTAGTTTTAAGTTTGAATTTCGGGAAGTGTTTTCTTTTAATGGAATTTTTGTTACTGTTTTTTTTAGCTCTGCATTTTTTATAAGTTATTTCTTTTCATTTTTTTTTTTTTGTTATATATTTATATGCTTGCAGGTGTGTTATTTATTCATTTTTTTGCTGCTTTTAGTTTCTGTAGTTAATTTTAATCACGTATTGCGTTTATTTTTTATTATATTTTTTTACATTTATTTTTTACGTATTATTTTTTTGGTTTGTTGTTCTATTTTTTACGGTTATTGTGACTTTTTTTGATTCTTTTAAAATTTTTTAAAATTTTTTTCAAATAAAATTTATTAAAAAAGGAAAATTGCAAACATCGTTGGAACGGGATGGCCATTTAGAAGCGGAAAAAGTGACGTCAAACACTTCATGTTCACATGGTTGCTTGCACTGACATTCCATCAGATTATCCGTAATGTGATGAAAATCACCGAATTCAACAATCACCTGTTCCAAGCAATCTCCTATAAAATCAAATTAAACTTCAATTAAATTAAATGTTTTCTAAATATAGATCCAACGTAACCAACCTTCCCATATGATTTACAAAAATCTTGATCAAAGAGAAAGTCGTTATTAGCTGATCAATTAAAGGAAATATAACACTAAATATTCTCCATAATCTAAATTAATTTAAAATATAAAGTTCAGTAAATTTAAAAAATATAAAATAAATATTCGTTCAAAAAGAATTTTCAAATTTTCTTTTTGCTTCTAATTTTTAAAAAAATTTTTTTTCTAATTATATTGATTAAATTAATTCTTACTTGCTGTAGCATTAAAAGCAGAACAATGTGTTCTGCCTTTTGGAACTGGAAAACGTGGATCACCACAACCGCATTTATTAAGCAATATATTTTGAAAGCAACTTCGGTGACATCCCTGTTATTTACATTGAGATAATTAATTTCTTATAAAATAATAGTAATAAAGAATATGTTATTGAATGATTTTAAGTTTTTTGAAATATTCCCGTGCTTGATAAAATGTCAAATATTTATCATGATAAAATGGGTACTATTAAGATCTAACTTCTGGATTGTAATCATAGCCACCGTAGATGTAAACACTTGAATTCATTTTTTTTTCTCGCTGACAATCACCGTATGGTGCGGATAATTTCTGAATGACGTGCTAGAAAATTGATTATATATTGTAATGAATATCGCAGTTGAAATTTAGAATTTTTCAAAAAAAAAGGAATTGGAAAACTAAAGCAACCTCACAAGTTTTGAACAGTTTATGGAATAAAAATTATCATTTAAAAAATAAATTAAGAAAAAATGAGTAATTCACCTTTTTCAGGCCAAATGAGGAAATAAAACCGACTGGTGCACTGTAACCAAAAGTATCTGGAAATGGAAAATCCGTTGGGCTATGTATTGCTAATCGTACTCCCGCAGCCTCCGATGTTGCCATATAATCCGATATATTCACGAACAACAGTAATCGAATACCTTTGGTAAAAGAAAATGATAAAATTCGTGCATGGATTTAAAGATTTATTTACTGCCTAAAATCGAGTCACAATAATCATATTTTGGATGCTTAAATTTAAATTAATTTTATTGCCATAATTAAATTCATTTTGATATCAATCATGTATAATAAAACATTCATTCTTTTCTAAAATATATTTTTTCT